CAGAACTTACTGAAGCTACTAAATTGCTCCTCGGTTTGCACTCTATCCGCTTTTCAGTATAAGCGAATAGCGATAATCGTATAAAACGAGATTGTGTGAGGTACTGGGCTGGTAGAAAAAGACATGGGCTAAAATGACACGGATGAGATTATGAGACGCCAGGACAGTTGGATGGTTTATACGCAATAGCAGTTAGGAATGGCAGTTTTGGTAAATCTGTAAGGATTAATGATAAGGTAAGAGACGACCGCAATAATTAGTCGTTAATCCTAATTATAAAGCCAGGAGATTAGAAGAAAAGATACGTGAGATCATCGACGGATCGAGGTTCATAGCGAATTAGGCGATCAAGGAAAGGAGAGCAGCAGTTATGTTTTGGTTATCTGAAACATCTTGCTACATTTGGGCATCCCATATGTGCGAGCCTTGCATTTGCTGTAAACCTACGATCCGTGCGTGTTTCATCCCTCAGCTGTAAATAGGGGCAGCAAAAGATGTTCGGTAAGAAGTGGGAATCACCACCCGGGAATCCGCCATGTGAATATGAACATTTGGAATAGACCGAAAAAGATGAAGAGTGAAGGGAACAGATGGGAAAATTGTAAGGGGAAAAAGAGAAATTAGCGAAACTGGAATTACAAATTTTTTCGGAAATTTATTATGGATAGAACAAGAAATTGAAGAAGTAAATATACCTTGGTTTTTGAGCTTTTTTTTTGGACGTAGTTCTCCAGAAGATACCAAAATCACAGCATCCTGACTTACTGCACACGATCCCCCAGTATCCTGGAAGACTGTGTCGGAACAAATGCACCCGCCGCCTAAGGCAAGGAGGGAACAAGGAGAGGGGAGGGGAGGGGAGGAGGTGAGTCTTCACTTAGTTCTCCCATAGTTTTGAATTGGAGATTATTCTTGTTTCGAAGGAGACACGATGCTTTCAGGTGACGGGCCACATTTCCGCGATTACTGTATTCAGCTAGGAATCGTTGAGCCACTGCTGAAATTCATCACGCCGAACATCCCCATTGGTTTTCTTCGTAACGTCACATGGGTGATTGTGAATTTGTGCCGTTCAAAGGTTGGCCTTATCCGCTTATGTTTTTGAAAAAATCGGTCTCTGTGTTTCTTTGTTTTTCTTTTTCAGCTACTCTGCACTGTATTCGCACTAGCGCTGTGTTAGTGAAGCGGGCTGAGTGAAGTTAGTTATCATGCCAAGAGGTTTTCAGGATCCTCCACCATCGCCAGAAATCGTTCAGACACTGCTGCCGGCCCTCGCGGCGCTTATCGGCCATACAGACCAGAATATATTGGTGGACACGGTTTGGGCTCTCTCTTATCTCACCGATGGCGGCAACGAACAAATCCAAATGGTTATTAATAGCGGGGTAAGTTGGTTTTTGATTGCTTATGAGGAACTGTTTGAATCGAGTTTTCTCTAACACTCTGATATTTTTCTCATTTCTTCGTCAGCTGTCATTCCCATCGCAACATGTTTTCACTCTGTTAGTGCGCCTGGCACTCTTTCCATGGTCGACTAAGCTGCGTTATCTTGCTGTTATTCCGT